GGGGGGGGTAGAGTCCACTGTTTTTTTTTTTCCCCCCCCCCCCCCCCCGCCACCTTTTTCATTAAAGGAACTGTACATAAAATGAAAACTCTTGCTTAACAGATCAAAATCATGGAAAAATATTCAAGGAAAATTGTAGTCAATCTTTTCTAAACTGAGGTTTTCGTTCACCAAAAAAAGCGTACCCCTGTATCAGGACTCTCTAAATATGGGTAGGACCCATATTTAGCAAAACAGAATGCTGTCTGCATTCCACTGCTTGTTTATATTATTGCTTGTGGTTCCAGCAAAAGATAGAGTGGGCACAATTCACACAAAAATGAAAAGGATCATGTAACTAAAATCGACTTGCCTTTTTTCTGGTTTGGAGGTGGTCTTGCTTGAGAAACTGAGAAAAAAAACAGAAAATATGGCAGAATGACTAAAACATAAATACAAACATCATTGTAAGGCAACATTTCAATGTTTTTAGTTGCAGGAGTGAACAAAGAAGAGTCACACTATCGTCATTAGATCATTTTCACAGATGCAATACACAAAGTTGAAGAAGAGATTTATAATTTGGGTCTCAGTATTCAGAAGACAAACAGCTTTTGACTGTCTGAAACATGTTAGGACATGAGTCAATCTCTCCTAATTTTACTTAAACTAGTCATCCCTCTCCATCCTCCTCAAAAGGTCGGCGCACTATAGCATTGACAAAAATTGTCAGCAATCTTGAAAAAAACTGCTTGTAGATCTTAAGTTCAATTGGGCTGAACCAACAGGAAGACTGTTGCATAACAAACTAACCTTCACAGACCCTCAACTTTTCATTAATAGTTATTACTGTACACGGTATCTGTAGGATTTAGCTATCCTTAACACATACAGAACTCTCAACAATCAAAATCTGAATTTAAGGCTTACTCCAGTTAATTTTTGATTGCAGTTTGAGTTACATAGCCTCTTTGGGTGCCAGAAACAGTGAAACTTGACAGATACGGTAGCACTCAAGAAAAAAACAACAACAACAAAAACCACCAGAAAAACCCCACCAAACAAAAAAAAAAAACCCACAACAAAAAAAACCCAAACCACCAAACAAACAAAAAAACCCACACAAAGAAAAAAATACTGGCCAGATAGAAAACAAAGAATTCCCCCTACCCCCTCCAATAAAATGTTTCCTTTTCAGTCTTCCAAGTTGTGAACTCCTCAATATGGGAGATAATTCAGTCCGAAGTTGGAAAAACGTTTCTTCACTTTGGTGCTATTACTGAATAACCTGGCTTCCTCCAAATAGACATTTTATAGTTCAGTTTTCAGGAGTCCTAGCTTAAGGAAAGAACTGTTGTGCCTGATAATTATCATCACATGTGTTTATCCTAATTCACAAAATCAGAAAATGGTGAGTACTAGAAAGATTGATGCAGACTAACTCAAGTCTCAACTGCTACTATGCACAACAAATTTCATTAATTGACTTCCAATTTCATAGCACCAACTGGTTCATGTTTATTTATGACCGTTTCAGAAACTTCCTAGAACAGTATATTCACAACACATAGTTGCCATTGTTGAAAAATTGAGACCATATCCTTAATTATCTTTTCCTGACAGTGTCAAATGCACAGATATAATTGGCAACACTATATTGAACTACATGAACTTTACCTACCCAGTGATTTATTTTCTTTCTTTTTTTTTTTTAAATCTACGTATCTCCTTAATGTAAAAATGTTCCTGAAATACATGGCAACATTAGCTGATTCCCCCCCTCCCCCTCCAAGTGAGGGAATGGGGAGCATCTTTAAGAAATTTGATAGCTGTACCAAGCCATGTTAGTAGAAAAGTTGGTACTGCAGAAAGATGCAGAAAAAAACCCCTTGAATTAAAAGCACATCTCAAATATTTTTTTCAAATCAGTATTGTACAACTGTTTCGTCCAATTCAACTAATGCTTATATGCACAGCAGCAGCATCCTGGAAATTGCACATTTTAAATACTTTGACTGCTAAGAACAGAGCAACTGATTTTTTTTGAAAGTTCCAAACCCCAAAATATCCTAGAACAGGCAGAAAGAGAAATCTTTTTTTTTTTAATAAAGCAGCATATATTTTTTTCACACTATACCTCTCTTCAGTTTACAATATAGAGGCAACATAATGGATTAGATTGGTCTTAGAGAACTACAATATCAGTATAACCTACACAATGTACAAAAAATACACTTCTGACAGTTAATGTCCATGAAGTCACAGCTAGCAGTAGGGACCTGTGACAACTCAGACTTCTGTTCTTGCCACTACTACCCTTTCCATACTGCTGTCTGTCAACTCCATTTGCATTATTATGCTTAATAGGGCTAGTAAGATAAGTATGACAGGTAGCATGACCTTTCCAGTATCAAAAAAACAAACAGAAGAATCTGTGCACAACAGCATTTAGGTGTGCTGAGAATATTCAGTATTAGAATAGATTTTTGGGGAAGAATCATTTTTACAATATTAAGTCTTAGCATTAAATCCTACTAATAAATCTCAAGGAATTCGCAAGGCACACGCTGAAAGCATCTAGTAGTCTCCACAAGAATATACAGTACTCCAGCACTACTTCTAGAAAAAGTCTATTAATTTTAAAAGGTAGCTTTTTTTTTTTCCAAAAAACCCCGTAATGTCTGCTTTCCAATACCTTCATAACAACTATAACCATCATCTTATTCTTACATAACACTTTTCACTTGAGACTTACATCCATCAAACCAGAAATTCTCTCAGTACATAAACCAGGTGCAGATATGCACATAGTTGTTTGGAAACACTGATCCTCTCTTACACTGTCTGTACTCTTACACTCTTTTAAAAACTCTAAGTGTTTCTCATTAAAACAAAACAAAGTACCTGTATCATTCTGTCTTTGAATCTCAATTTGAGATTCAATCTGACATACAAAATTGACTTGGCAGCTAAAGTCTACTAACTGGGAATTAAAAAGCCAGTTGAAGATTCTGGCCCCATTACAAATACCTAATGTGCCAAGAAGTGTGAAGAAGTAATGATAACACATTCAGAGAAAGACTTATTTCTGATATATTCATAATAGAAGTAATAATATATCTCTTTTTGAGATTAGCTTTTGTATTTAGGTTGTTTCTCCTTGGAGTATCAACCAGCTCTTATTATGGATTTGAGCTGGCATTTGTGAACTACCAAGTCAACAACCAAGAAGTTTGTCACATTTTAATTTCACTAGCGCATCATTTCAATGGGCTAACTGTGCAACACACTGAAGAGAATGAACCCAAGCCCCATGGTATAACATTAACCAAAAAGTTATGTGTTACTTCCAATACATATGCAGTTAAAGGCCACAAATAAACAAGTCCCACTTCATTCTTCAGCTAACTAAAGTTTTAAATAGTACTTCTTTGAAACTCATACTTATTTGTAACAGAAGCACAAATGATAGTAGGCTACCTTACCTGGTCGTGGTACAGGCTGTGCTGCTGGAGTTTGTGTTTTTCGAGCAGAAGCACCTTCCTTTTAAAGGACAGAAGAGGTAACATTAATAGCTGGCCTTCTCGTCAGGTACACGGGTTTTTTAAGTGAACACAGAGCTACAGAGGGTATCATGAAAATGAGGCCAACACATTTCCATTAAAGAGAAGAAAGAAAATAGTGAAAATATTCAAAACTCTTTACAGATTCTGTTTCAGACTTGGTGAGGACAGACAACCTCGTAAACTTTTACAGGTTTACATTTGAACCATCAAATGCCAATCAAACTTTTTTCTATATTCAAAGAAACCTTTTCTATTTATAGTATTGTTTCATTTTACCTATGATCACTTTCACCAAGGGTTAGTAACATAAATGCAAGCAATTGGCTACAGAAATTTCAAAACAACATCTGCTTACGCTCTGGATGGAAAACTAGGACCAAGAAACTGCAATGCATTCCTGCCTTGAAGAGTTTTAGTGCCCAGAAATAGCACACTCATGATAATTAGTTCTGCTCATGCCTTATCCAATTACCTTAATGTAACAACAAAAGACATGCACTACTATTTATTCTTGTTAACTCTGCAGAGTCAACACACCAGGTAAGAGAACAGTGAGGTCACACGTCTGGTCCCAAAGCAACAATGAATTCCTGCAAGAACAAATTCTGTTCTCAGTTACTACTGTGAAACCTCACTGAACAAAACATGTATTACTAACAATCTTACTAACTCCGAAAAAAAAAGGCTAATATATTCCAGCCACTTCAGTTTGCAAGGCTGACAGAAAACCTTTTAACACGAAACCATGAATTCTATCTAAAAATTACTTAAATGCTATATGAAGCATATCCTAAAAACTGTGAGACACTCAGAAAGTTCAGAAACCACTCTGGGAAAAACCTGTTGGAAAGGACTCCAATATGGCATTATCACATTTGTATGTCCATGTGTAAATAACAATATGTTTTGTAATTCAAAATAAAAAAACTAATGAGCAGGGGACTACACACAAGCAGCCTCAAGTTCCATGATTTAAATAACACTTAAAGCAACTGCTTTCAAGTTTCCACCATGAAAGTTAAAACTCTGTTTTTATCTCAAGAACTGTGAAGTACAAATAGAAGAGAAGATCACTTGACAAGCCCTTAGAAAACACAAATTTACTCAAAATGTCTCTTCCTTGAGCTTTAGTCAAAGCCACCCATGTTTACTTACTATAGGCTGGAACTGACATTTGATACAGCACGCAGCTTTCATAACTTTTACAGTCAGTAACCTCCTATTAATCTTCAGTGTAAGGATTTAACCCTGCATTGCAAGAAATGGATTATTCCCAAATTTTGCTGTACTCTTTTCTGATTATTAAAATACCAACATCTATGTAGGGCACTTGAGTCAGTAACTGTTATTTTAAGACTTACTTTTTTAGTATCTGAGAAAAGGTATTTTTGCCCATGTCCTTTCACAAAAATTACTCAGAAAATGATAAAAATTAAAATACCACATTCTAAAAGAAGAGCAGCAGGAAAGGTTGACTACCTTTGAGAAAAGCTTTGTGACTGAGAAACAGCAGCTCTTTGAAACAACATCACCTTTCTTTTAACCAAGAAAGTGGAAATAAAACATTTTGCATTTGTTTCTATAGACATGTGTCATTTTCTGTGTGAAAAGACTGTTCCTGTGGTGCACTAATTACACATTTTGAAGAAACACCAAGAATTCTCCCATAATATCTCCTTAAATTCACAGCATTTTATGAAATGGAAAGGAAAACATCAAGCTAAAGAAACATCACTTCCTGCAATGCTAAGTTTCAAGTTTCTAAATCCAATTCAGTTTGGATGCTTAACTATTACTGTCTGCAGTCCCACACATCCACTCCTCTTTCCTCCCCTACAGAATCAGTAATGCAACTTTTGTGCCTCCCCTTCCACTTATTCAGTGCCTCTAATGTCTCAAAGAGATCCTGCAGTCCTATGGCAGCTGCAACAAAGGGAGGGAACCTGAAGCTGGTTTAAAGATTCTAGAGTTTTTAGAAATTCTTGGTTAAGAATTATAACCAAATTATAACCATAGCTTTGCTTTAGTTTCCATATGACTTGTGCTTGTGATTTCTCCTCTTCACCAAAATGTCCATAAAGCACCAGAATATACATAGAATCAAGCCTAACAAAATAACTGGCAAATTATCTGTTTGGGAGTTTTTCATAATTTCCTCTGAACAGTCTTCTCTACAGTGATTAACTCGAAACTTAGTGCAGAAGCCTAAAACAAAAAGGCAGGGCTTTGAGAACATTGCAGCTGAAACAAAAAAAAACCAACCCCAAAACAACAACAACAACAAGCACATAAAAAAAAAAAAAAACAAAAACAAAAAACCACAAGAAAAATATCTGATTAATGGTAGGAAATAAATTCATTTAAGTGAGTAGGTACAAAAGATAGTTACTCCTTCCATGCCTATGACCTTCTATCTGTAAGAACAATTTATGCAAATCAATAATGATGGAGGTCACAGCCCTTAGTTCTGTAAATCACTGTCTTAGACTGTGATAATTTCATGGATGAACCTCTGCTCACACCTCCTGATATTCTGGCATCTTAGCACAGAAGCTCAGTTATTACCTACAGAAGGCATAACATGTATCCTTTGTAACTGATTTACATATCTCTCTATGATTATCAGTGACCTAATCTCCACTTCCTACTATGTAAAAAACTGCAGACAATGTAGGAAAAGAAGCTCTGATCAATATTTTAACCACACATTTCTTAAATGGTTTGTAAGGAGAGAAGTATACTATTTAGATGAGGAAAAAACAAAAGGACAGAGCAGTGATGGTTGACAAGATACACTAAGTGGAGAAGAAAGCCTGCTTTCAATAAGGAAGTCATTGGCAGGATAATTTTGCTAACATTTCACATTGTTCTAAAAACAAAAGATGCCAAGTTTAGATACAGAATTAATGCTTTTCAAAAGCATTCAAATAGGAAAACTTATATCTCTATGACAAAACACTGATTTATGATACAAGCTCTGTTTACAAGGCAGGTATAACCACAGAGAAGTATGTGCTAGGATTTCTCCCAGAGGAAAAGAAAATAGTTGACAGAGTAAACTTCATAGCTGGTTCATTCAACTACACAAGGTAAGTGCTGCTGGTAATTTATGCCCCTTGTAAAGACAGTAGCTTATTTCTCAGTGAGCACACAGTAAGATATTTCAAATGTTAAAATGTGAAGTTTTTAATGTAAAAGTTACTCTTAAGTAACTAGCACACTGCAAAATCAAACTCCAGTTAGGGGAGCTTTTGTTTGTGCAGCTGTACCCTAAGCATCAGAAGCAGCAGAAATCACTGTTTAGCTATTTAAAGAACATTCATTTCCTCAAAGTTTCTGAACACTTCACAGTTTTGCTCGAAGATGACATACCTAATTCTTATGCATAAGCTGTTTGAGACCGTTAAGGAGTATATTATGAATATTCATAAGTTGAAACTAATTTAGTAAGAAAACCATGTAATTTAAAAAATACAAATCTTCTTTAAGACAACCACTTAACATCATATTTTAATCAAAACCATATTACTTTTAGTTGTGCTAATTTACCATAGAAGGTTATATGTATTTTACTTATAATTTACATTAAATACATGAGTATTTAACCATTCAGAAGCGACAACCTGAGATAGAATGAAATCAGGAAAACAGATACCAAAAGCTTCATACCTTCCTAGATTTCATTGCATCATCTACAGATACACCGCTGTATATACTTTTCAGTGGAATTCATTCCATTTCAGTACTAATGTTTCCTATCATATTAGACATTTACAAAATCCCTGCTCAAAAACTGTTTTTGTTTTAGTGTATGCTTTCTGCTATTTAGCATTGTCCTACCCAAACACCTAAAAATACTGGTTTGCAAACCAATGCATGAATAGAAAACAGGTTAGTACATGTGGAAAAAAAAAAAAAAAAAAAAATCAAGATTCCCACTTATAGTCAAACAATGAATAAAAAAACCTCACATCCTGAAGGACAACTGACTTCTGCTATTATTGTACACCCTGGAAATCAAGCTTTGAGTGTGTTCTTTTCTTCCCTCATTCCTTCATACAATTTGTATGTTTGTCTTAATTTCAGACACTGCTATGTGCTCTGATATGTTTTGTGAGTGTAAACTATGTTTACAATAATAAGAAGCTTTAGGTCTATTGCCTAAAGTCCCTTAAATTTGTACATTCTGTATACAGCTTACTTCACATCTTTCCTTTCACATGTGCTTTAATTTTCCCTTCTCTGCTTCTACATTATACAGGCAAGTTGCAATGTATTATGAAGATGCAAATTGTTTTGGACAGATTCTTATCACACTTGTCTGTCCTCCAATATATTGCATCCTCAATCCGTTCTAATGTAACAAGTTCAACAACTTTTAAAAGATCTATTACTTGCAACAGTAAATCTGAGATACTGCATCTACACAGACAAAAAAAACCTATCTAACAGAAAAGTAAACTATGGTCAATCTATAGTTTTATTTAGTTATCCAACAGTGGGTGGTGATGTTGGTTTGGTTTTTGGTTTTTTTTAACAGCTTCTAAAACCTTCTACAGTGCCTGTTAACCTTTTTAATTAAAAAATAAATCTATCATTCTTTGTGTTAATTTGCAAAAATCGCCAATTACCAATATTCATCTGATACCAGGACCCAACTAGTATTTTTCTAGATTTTAGGAAAAAAAAAAAAAAAAAAAAAAGGTATTTTAGATACCCAGTACTTTTCTTAAGTCTAAATGAGCATTAACATTCATAGTGAAGTTACTTCCACTCATTTCACAGAATGGAATCAGAAATTGCCTGAACATAAACTCATCCTATGTTTTAGGAAATGAACCCTCGTGTTTTAAGCAACAGAACATGTTATATTGGTAGAATTTTTTCTTGGAGGCACATTTCATACACCCACTAGTTTACTCTCTTGAAGCATAAAAAAAAGCTATTAAAAGTTTCCTATTGTGGCTTCGCAAGGTA